CCATTTGCCGCCATATGGCAGCTTCTGATTGGGCCGCGAGTCGTTCACCTCCAGACCTGTTCCGGAGTCGAAAACAATGCGGTAGATGAGATTATCAGGAGGCAGAGGGGGGGGTGGGGAAGTTACGACGCATGCTCCCTGGTTTGCACGCCCGCCACATACAGTACCCTTGCACTTGTCCGAAAACCGTTTCATCCTTCACTACCTTGTATACTCTCTTGTCTCTGCGTTGCCCTGCGCCCTGCTCTGCTCTCTCCCACCACTCTCACCCAGCAGCCTCCCGTTACTCTCTGGTTCGGCTATGCACTCTAATTCTGCTCAGCTCTTCTCTGCTCTGCTCAGCTCTCCTCTGCTCTGCTCTGCTCGGCCCTGAGCTGAGCTGCTCTGCTCTACCCAGTCACTCTCACTCACCCAGCACGCCGCAGTAGAAGTCAAGTGCCTTGTCCAAATCCGCGCACAATATCCCCACATGGTGCAACCCGATAAACGCAGAAGCAGGAGCTGGGAACGAGGGGATACAACAGGCAGTTTGTGGGGAAAGAAGGGAGAAGAGAGAGGGCGAGCGAGGGAGATTGATAATGGCTGTAGTGGTAGGGAGAGACTGTCTCTTTTCTCAGCGGTAATAGGATGATAGCATTTCGCAAAGGTCCAGGTGCTCCTTGAGGACAGCATACGCTCGGCTCCTGCCCAGCGTGGAGCCGATGTCGCCAGGCTCGTAGCTGTGGGCGAGAGGGGATAGCGATCATGTAAACATTGCTGAAAATACCCCTAGCGGTCCTTGTCCTCTGGGTGTGTGGAAGGGGAGCAAGGCACGCTAGGGCAAACGTCAGGAATCGGCTCGGCGATAAGCAGGGTGTCATCCCGCACTCTTCCCCGCACTCTTCTCCGCGCTCTTCCCTGCGCTCTTCCCCGCACTCTTCCCCGCACTCTTCCCCGCGCTCTTCCCCGCACTCTTCCCCGCACTCTTCCCCGCACTCTTCCCCGCACTCTTTCCCGCGCTCTTCCCCGCAATTTTTCCCCCTCTTCCCCGCACTCTTCCCCGCACTCCTCCCCGCACTCCTCTCCCCGCACTCCTCCCCGCACTCTTCCCCACACTCTTCCCCGCACTCTTCCCGCACTCTTCCCCGCACTCTTCTTCCCCGCACTCTTCCCCGCACTGAGTAGCCACTCCTAGGGTATTGGCCACATCGCCTCCAGCCACTCACTATCGCTAGCCTGGGAAGCTGCTGTCGTGGCAGCGTCCGATTGGCTCGCACTCATCGTTACAACAGCCCTCCGGCTTTCCGAAGTTCTGCTCCGAGCCCGTTGTCGTGGCGAAAGCTGCTGGCGACATTGGCGAGAGACTGAAATCTGTGGGGAAGATAGAGATGACGCGCATCGACTGGAATTCGAAGGTTGGAGCGCCCTCGACGCTAGTGGCGTTTGAGTGGCATGACACGTGGCGAGTGATTGCGAGCAAAACGCCATTGTCCGGGGGCTTTGAGCTAAAACAGCGTGACACAGCACAATAGGCCTCTGGAATCCGGACCGGCGGCTTCTAGAATTGAATTGAAATTGAACTTGGTGCTCGGTGGAGTGCCAGGGTGACGGGACATTATCGAGGAGAAGGGATATATTATCGCGGATGGCCCTTGATTAGGGCGCGTGTCTTTTGGTGTAGACGTTCGGATTTTTGGTTGAACTTTTGCTGGTTACCGTATTCGTTAATTTCGCTAAACTTTTCGCCAGGACGTCGTGTGTCCACGTACACTTCCAGCATCGGAATATGTTGAGCTCCCAAGTTGAACCCTCATCAACAAACAGGTTGGCACGAATGTGCGAGCGTGTGTCCACCTCATCACTGACAGCGACGATGCGAAGTCTGCGACGCTCGCAGCTAGCATCGTGCGCACGAGGGTGCTCGTCAGCGCGAGGTGTTACGTGGCGCGATGTCAAGAGCCCAAACCGGGTAACCTACAAGCGTAGGTCGCGGCTCGGCTGGGCTGCAAAAGTTCAACTTCTCGGGAGGGGTGGAACCGCGGCTCGGTTTGCAGTTGGTGAAAACTCGAGCCTAGCTCGAGCTAGGTTCAAATGACTACAGTTCAACAAAAAATTCGAGTTTTGCATATAAAAACCAAAAGACACGCGCCTTTAGAATTTGAAGCAAGATTCATTTGCATGTCTCATGAAGGCAAGACACTCAAAATTTCTCAACATAATTGATATATGCAATGTACTCAATTAACCTTGTTTTACACGAAAAAAACACGTTTTGAGAAAACCTCAGTTAGAGAATAAATCAGTGCGAAGAATGAAAAATGGGAATCATCTCTTGTAACAGAGCCCCCCCAACCGAAGCCTGTACTCACTGGACCATGGGGACCTGAGGGGGATGCGGGGGAACCTTGTCCCCCTCGTTGATCGCGGTCGCGGCAAGCCCTAAACCAAGCCCCTGGGAGAAACCTTGCTCTTGATTCTGCTCTAGTCTGCTACTATTCCCTCCCTTCCCATCTCTGTGTCTCACAACTCGTCAATCTCGTTGTTTAGACCGATCGCCAGCGCGCGTTGCAGATTATCATTTAGCAATCGACGGTTCCCGGCCATGGCGGCTGTGGAGGAACCCGTTCAGACCAATGGCGCCGCACCGCCGGAAGATGCGGTAAGCTATTCGCGAGATGGTTGTGTGAATTTGCGAAGCACGTACGGTGGAAGGGTGGGAGTTGCAAGTTTTTCGTGTCGCAAGAATTCTCAGTCGCGAGCTTTCCCGGTTGCAAGCTTTCACGACTGCTTCCGTCTTTCCTCCGCCGTTCGTCGTCGCTCCTCCGTTGTTCGTTGTCGTTCCTCGCGCTTTTCTCCTATGCTATTTCCTGGCGCTGGAAGGCTCGTGGGTTTACCAAACCCTGGAAAAAATCGCTGCAGTAGCTATCACGTGGCATCAACCTCCACTAATAGTATTGTCGGAAACCCTTTCAACTGCGTTCGTTTGTTCCTTTTAGGTATTCTGATTTTCCCTATGTCCCCTCCATACGCGGAAGGGGAACTTTGCACAGGGAGCGAACATCTCTTGATATACCATTATCTCCTACTTTCACGCCGACCTTCCCGTCCGCTCTGCCTCCCCCTTCTCCCTTTTCTTCCTCCCTCCCCTCTTCCCCCCAACCTTTCCCCCTTTTCCGCTGACCCTTCATTTGCCCGACGGGGGGTTCAGGCGCGCGATTGGGGGACGGCGGAGGAGATTTTTGAGTCAATTCACTAGTCACCCTTTCATTCCTTCCCTCCCCCCCTCCCCCTTCCCCAGGCTGCTAACGGGGAGGTTCAGGCGCGCGACTGGGGGACGGCGGAGGAACAGGCTGCGCGCGGGCGGGCGCCCGTGAAGAAGGAGTTCCTGATGCCGCCAGGTGGCAGAAAATCATTGGCAGCCGCGGGCGGAAATGGGGAGGCGGGGGGGAAGGAAGAGGGTGGGGGGGACGGAGACGGGCAGGGGAAGGCGGGGGGAAAGGGAGAGGGCGGTTGGGGAAAGGGCGGGAAGGGGAAGGGCGGTGGGGGAAAGGACCAGAGGCTGAGCCATCGTGCGATGAAGAAGCAGCGGAAGCAGGTAATGATACTGTAGCAGGCAGTGATAAATGAGGTTATAAAAAAAATTAACGTTTGTGAGGTTTCAGAACCGTTAATTAGAATTATTCCCGCCTTCACTTCCTCCCCTCTCCATCCACCCTCCCTTCCTCACTCCCGCTACCCCTTCTCCTCCCCTCCCCCCATACCCCTACCCCTCCCCCATCCCCCGTCCCCCGTCCGCTCTCCCGCCTCCGCCCCCTCCACCTCCACACACCTTCCTCCTTCCCCTCCCGCCAGGCCATGGCGTCTCAGCCGTGCAACACTGTAGCGCGTACAGGCGACCCGTCCTCGTGTCCGTTTGGCGCCACGTGTCGCTTCAGCCACGACCTTGGGATCATCCGCGCGCACCTGCCGCCCACCCTGGACGGCACCTGCCCCTTTGCCGCCCTCCGCCGGCCCTGCCCCTTCGGCCTGGCTTGTCGCTTCCGGGACGAGAAGCACGGGAAGCTTCCAGGAAGCGACGATGGGGGAGAGGGCGGGGAAGGGGGTGGAGGGAAGGAGGAGGGGAAGGACGACGGGAAGGGGAAGGGTAAAGGGGTTGGGGAGGGGAAGGCAGAGAGTGAGAATAAGGAAAAGGAGGTGGGGGAAAAGGAGGTGGGGGAAAAGGAGGTGGGGGAAAAGGAGGTGGGGGAAAAGGAGGTGGGGGAAAAGGAGGTGGGGGAAAAGGAGGTGGGGGAAAAGGAGGTGGGGGAAAAGGAGGTGGGGGAAAAGGAGGTGGGGGAAAAGGAGGTGGGGGAAAAGGAGGTGGGGGAAAAGGAGGTGGGGGAAAAGGAGGTGGGGGAAAAGGAGGTGGGGGAAAAGGAGGTGGGGGAAAAGGAGGTGGGGGAAAAGGAGAGTGAGAAGGGGAGTGAGAAGGGGAGTGAGAAGGGGAGTGAGAAGGGGAGTGAGGAGGGGGGTGAGGTGAGGTATCCTGGGGAGGTGAATATGCTTGAGAAGGGGCTGCAATCGAAGCTGTGGAAGCGACAGCTGGACTTCCCCAGAGCTGTTGATGCACTCCAGCGGATCGGATGGACGGTGAGATTTGGACGGTGGGAGATTGTTGTGGGCGGGTACCGTACCGTCATGCGTGATGAAGTGAGTGATTTGAGCGATGGGAGTTTGTTAAGACGTCTCGAAAGCATGTGAGTTGAGTTCACGTGCTTCATCAGGCATCAGGTAAGACGTCTCACTTCACGTGAACGTTCCATCGCCCCCACTCCTCTTTTTTTCTCCATTCCCTTCCCTTCCCTCCCCTCCCCTCAGCAATGTCTTGTTCCGCTTCTCTTTCCTTTCTTTTCTTCTGGCAGCGCAAGGTGAAGCCTAAAGGGGAGGCCAGCCTCATGCCTGACCTGGATGAGAACGAGGAGGGGGAGGAGGGGGAGGAGGGGGGAGATGAGGAGGACGATGAGGGGGAAAACGAGGGGGGGATGGCGGAGATTGAAAGGGAGGGGCGGCGGAAGGGCGTGCTAGCAGCAGCAGCTACAGCCTCCAAGGAGACTGCAGCGGCAGCTGCTACAGCCGTGAAGGACACGGCTGTAGCGGCGGCGGAGACTGTTGGGAAAGCAGCTGTAGTGGCAGCAGAGGCGATTGGGAAAGACACAGGGGCTGTAGTAAAAGAAGGGGGAAAGGATATCAAAGAGGGGAGGGTGGGGGATGATAAGGAGGTGCGGCTGCCCCACCGGGAGAAAAAACCCGTGGATTTCAAGGGTAAACTCATTGTCGCGCCGCTGACCACCGTGGGTAATTTACCCTTCCGGCGCGTGTGCTGCTCGTTCGGCGCGGACGTTACAGTGGGCGAGATGGCGATGTGCGGTAACCTGCTGCAAGGGCAGGCGTCTGAGTGGGCGCTGCTAAGGAGGCACGAGAGCGAGAAGTGCTTCGGCGTGCAGCTGTGCGGTCCGCACCCGGATATGGTTGCTAAAGCGGCTGAACTGGTGGCCGAGCATTGCCAGGTGAGGGGTGGGTGGGAAAGAGGAGAGAACAAGTGATGAGGATTGTAGAGTGGGGGGGCCGCTGTGTGGTCCGCACCCTGACATGGTTGCTAAGGCCGCTGAACTGGTGGCTGAGCACTGCCAGGTGAGGGATGGTAGAGAGGGAGGTGGGGGTTGTACAGTGGCAGGTGAGTATGGTTGGGAGAGTGGGAGGGAAGTTATCTGGGCCGCACCCTGACATGGCCACTAAGGCCGCTGAATTCGTGGCTTCGTGGCAAAGAACCACCACAAGCAAGGCGCACCCTAAGTTGGAATATACGCGTTTCGCGTTTTGTACGCACGCGTGTATACGCTAGAGTATAATACGCAATACGTCCAGAGAGGATGTTGATATACGCTTGAAATATGGAGGGGCGGGCAGCGTAAAAACTTTTCCGGGCAGGGTAAAATACCGATTTCTAGCGAGGGGAGGGGAATATGCACCCACACCTATCTCTTCCTGTTTTTTTTTGGAGTGGGATTTCTCGCGGATATATGCGGAAGTGCTTGAAATTGAAATGATCGCTATCTTCCTGAAACACCAGCGCAGTGGAACCTTCCGCGGACGCAATTCGAACGTACGTGCCCTCACAAGAGTGCTTGAGGGGGTAGATATGGCTGCAGCGGATTAAGCTTAGCGCATCGTCGTGGAAAGCGATGTGTGGTCAACTACGAAAATGATTGACAGCGTAGGTTGCTTCAGGCTCGCCTTGTATACGTGCCTGCATGCTGTGCGTGGCTTTCTTGGTGGGGATCTGAGAGGTATGTTGGGATTCAAAGCGGTTGAAAACTTTTGAACTCCAAATTTGGGAGCCAAAATTGAGTCGGCGATGCTCCTCACAAATTGTTCCGCATCGCAACTCGCAATTCCCGTTTTTAGGTTTTTTTTTTTTTTTTTTTCCGACGGGCTGCCCGCCCGAAATCCGAGCGTATTTCTAGCGTATTGCGTTTTTGCGTATATACGCCAGCGTACAAACGCAATACGCCTTGGCAGCGGAGCGTATATTCCAACTTAGGGCGCACCTGGGAGAGGAGATAAGACTGAGGAAGTGTGGACTGGCAGGTGCACGGGGGGAGAGATGCGGGACGGGCGGTGTGCAGATGGGATGTCGGTTGAGTGGAACTGCTCGTCATGTGCTTAGGTCACAAGTGACAATCTTGCATAGTTCTGTCTTGCTCTCTTGCCTCCGCCCTCTTTCCTGCCCCACCCTTTCTCTTGTCCCACCTCGCTCTGTTGTCCGCCGGTTGATTTCGTGAATCTGAACATTGGGTGTCTGATTGACATAGTCGTCAACAGAGTAATACTTTTTGCGACATCTCGAAATTGCTCCACCCCCGCTCTGCTCCCCTCGCTCTGTTGTCCGCAGGTTGATTTCGTGGATCTGAACATAGGGTGTCCGATCGACATAGTCGTCAACAAGGTAATGCCCCCCGTGGCACACCGCTACATCCCACGCTTTCTGGATTTCTGAGTCGACTCAAAAGTCCCCTCGTACACATAGTCATCAACAAGGTAATGCCCCCAACGTGTGACAAGGTTGTCACCTATCCTGGGCTGTATGATTCGTACTTGTGTGTGTGTGTGTGTGTGTGTGTGTGTGTGTGTGTGTGTGTGTGTCTGTGTGTGTGTGTGTGTGTGTGTGTGTGTGTGTGTGTGGTATTCTCCAACACAGAAAGCGTTAGCACACTCTACCATCGCTTGATCGCTCAACCTTCAGTTCTCAAAGTAACGCAAGGGTGCATCCCTTCTTTTGCTGGTTAAACTTCCTCCCTCCCCTTCTTCCTCCCCTTCCCTCCCTCCCTATCTCTCAGGGCTCTGGGTCGTCGCTGCTGCGCAAGCCGCAGCGATTGGAGCAGGTGATTAGAGCTACTGCGCTCGCCATCGACGTTCCACTTACTGTCAAGGTGCGTGTGTGAGTGAGGGGCAGGGTGCTGTCAAGTCAAGGTCTGCGGGGGTTGGGATTTTTACCTCACTCTTCGGGTTCTGCGTTCCAAATATGGAGTTGTGTATTTATGCCAAGCAGACTGGACAAATAACCACCTGATTCCCCTCGTCCTTATCGTGCCCGTGCCCCTGCTACAGATGGGCATGGGGTATGCCGAAGGCCACAACGTGGCACACCGCTACATCCCATACCTTCTAAACTGGGGCGCTACAGCCGTGACTCCCGCACTCTTCTTATTGTCAGAGACCCTTTCCACGCCTTTCCGTCTCCTTCCCTCCTGCTACAGATGCGCACAGGGTACGCAGAAGGTCACAACGTGGCACACCGCTACATTCCCCACCTGCTGGACTGGGGCGCTACAGCCGTGACCCTGCACGGCCGCACCCGCCAGCAGCGCTACAGCCGGCTGGCAGACTGGGAGTACATCGGGGAGTGTGCCTCAGTCAAGCCGGCAGGGCTACAGGTCAGTCAAGCCGGCAGGGCTGCAGGTCAGTCAAGCCGGCAGGGCTACAGGTCAGTCAAGCCGGCAGGGCTACAGGTCAGTCAAGCCGGCAGGGCTGCAGGTCAGTCAAGCCGGCAGGGCTACAGGTCAGTCAAGCCGGCAGGGCTGCAGGTCAGTCAAGCCGGCAGGGCTACAGGTCAGTCAAGCCAGCAGGGCTGCAGGTCAGTCAAGCCGGCAGGGCTACAGGTCAGTCAAGCCAGCAGGGCTGCAGGTCAGTCAAGCCGGCAGGGTTGCAGGTCAGGTCAGTGATAGGCACGACGTTGCACTGCATTCTTTTGTTGCTTCTGTTACATTTGTTACTTTATGAGTTTGGTTACAGGTTCGTTACAGGTTCGTCATGATTTTCTCAGGGCTACAGGTCAGTGATAGGCACGACGTTGCACTGCATTCTTTTGTTGCATCTGTTACATTTGTTACTTTATGAGTTTGGTTACAGGTTCGTCTTGCTTTGCTCAGATGCATGCATAGCTCGTTAATTCCAATGCCTCCTTTTGCAAGTCTCCTGTAGTGGCAGAGCAGTTTTCGCTGACCTCTATCAACCCCATCCACTCCCCCCCACTGCCCACCCCTGCTCTCCGTCCTCTTTCGCCGTCCGATCACATGGCAGACTGGAGAAGCCTCTCTTTCGCCGTCCGATCACATGGCAGACTGGAGAAGCCTCTCTTTCGCCGTCCGATCACATGGCAGACTGGAGAAGCCTCTCTTTCGCCGTCTGATCACATGGCAGACTGGAGAAGCCTCTCTTTCGCCGTCTGATCACATGGCAGACTGGAGAAGCCTCTCTTTCCAACCCCCATTTCTCCAGGGGAGGACTAGAGAAGCCTCTCCCTCAACTGTTTCCCCTGTCCTCTTTCCAACCCCCATTTCTCCAGGGGAGGACTAGAGAAGCCTCTCCCTCAACTGTTTCCCCTGTCCTCTTTCCAACCCCCATTTCCCCCCCTTCCCTCTTCTTTCTCCCTCCTTCTGTGACAGTTCATAGGGAACGGAGATGTGATGGCATACATCTACTGGAGGAGCCTCAACAGTCTCTACCTACTGTCCTCACTTCCTCCCTCCTTCCCAGTCGCTTCTCCTCCCTCCCTCCTCCCCCATTGACAGTTCATAGGCAACGGGGACGTGATGGCATACACCGACTGGAATGAGCACACGGCCAATGGCAGCGCGACAGCTGTCGACTCGTGCATGCTGGCACGTGGCGCTCTCATCAAGGTGAGAGCGGTGGTGCAAGCTGTTTAGGTGGTTTTTGTTGTAGTAAAGCTGTGTGTGCTGCCAATCGTTTTCGTTTTACCTCCACTATGCTCTTCTGTTGTCTATCCTCTTCAATCCCTCCCATCCCGGCCCCCCTTCCCCCTTCCTCCCCCCAGCCCTGGCTGTTGACTGAGATAACGGAGCAGCGGCATTGGGACATATCAGCGGGGGAGCGTTTGGACATGCTGCGCTCGTTCACGCGCTACGGGCTGCTGCACTGGGGCTCCGACTCCCCCTCACCCACCTCACCTTGCTTCCCACTGTCTCTCTGCTGCTTCCCCTCACCACTTTCCCCCTCCCCTCTTCCTCCTTCCCTTCCGCTCTCCTCCTCCTTTTTTCCCTTCCCCCCTTCCCCCTCTCCTCCCCGCCCTCCATTCCCTCCCCTCCCCCTACTATCCCCCCAGCCATGGCTGCTAACAGAGATAACGGAGCAGCGGCATTGGGACATATCAGCGGGGGAGCGTTTAGACATGCTGCGCTCGTTCACGCGCTACGGGCTGCTGCACTGGGGCTCCGACTCCCGCGGGGTCGAAACCACGCGCCGCTTCCTGCTGGAGTGGCTGAGCTATCTGCACCGCTACGTGCCCGTGGGGCTGCTTGAAATGCTACCACAGCGCATCAACTGGCGTCCACCGGCTTTCTACGGAAGGAATGACCTCGAGACACTGTTTGGGTCGGACCAGGCTCAAGACTGGGTGAGTAACGCCTTTCTTTCACACTCTCATGGGAAACGTAAGGGGGAGGGGGAGGGGGGGGGTTCTGGGTGCGTGGGCAGAAAGGGTAGTGAGCGAGCACCGTGCTGCTTCCTGCTGGAGTGGCTGAGCTATCTGCACCGCTACGTGCCCGTGGGGCTGCTTGAGATGCTGCCGCAGCGCATCAACTGGCGGCCTCCTGCTTTCTACGGGAGGAATGACCTGGAGACCTTGTTTGGGTCGGACCAGGCTCAAGACTGGGTGAGTAACGCCTTTCTTTTTACCCTCTTGGGGAACAAAAGGGGGGGAGGGGGGGTTCTGGGTGAGTGGGGAGTGAGAGGAGAGAGGGAGAACAACGGGCTGCTTCCTGCTGGAGTGGCTGAGCTATCTGCACCGCTACGTGCCCGTGGGGTTGCTTGACCTGCTACCCCAGCGCATCAACTGGCGCCCGCCGGCTTTCTATGGGAGGAATGACCTGGAGACGCTGTTTGGGTCTGACCAGCCCCACGACTGGGTGAGTTTTGCCTTCCTTCCACATACTTGGTTGACACTGTTTGGTTCTGATCCATCCTGGGTCACCCCAGGACTTGGTGAGTTGTAGGTCTTCCATCCTTCCTTTTACGCCCTCCTGTGAACCAGAGGGGGGATTCTGGGTGAGTGGGCAGAAGGGGGAGTGAGAGAGCTGTGTGCTGATTCCTGCTGGAGTGACCGAGCTACGTACACTGGGTTTCTAGCGGCCTTCTCCCCTTCCTACCTCCCCTCCTCCTACTCCCGGTTCCTTCCCCACTCCTGCTTTTAGCAGCTGCATGCGACCTAGTGATTTAGTTAAATTGAACGAACCCCATGACTGGGTTGGTCCATAGGCCTGGTGCTGATGTCACAACCGTGTGACATTCATTTTTGGCTTGCGTGTGTGCAACTTGAGAGTGTGATTGCCATGTACACCTTGCTGCAAGGTGACTTTTGAGTCGACTCAAAAGTCACCTTTTGAGTCGACTCAAAAGTCACCTATGTCACAACCGTGTGGCATTCGGTTCTGGCTTGCGTGTGTACATCTTGCTGCAAGCTTGGCTCTTCCCTTGCGACCTCCCCACTTGTCCTTGCGAATCCTCTTACTGCCTGCTTTTCGTCTCATCGCCCTCTGATCCCCGTGTTTCCCATCTCATCCCGTTCATCTTATCTTTGCTCCATGCGCTTATCAGGTCAACATATCTGAAATGCTTTTGGGCCCTACCTCACCAAACTTCAGTTTTACTCCTAAGCACAAGTCCAACTCATATGATGCGGCCGAGAATGGCTGATGTAAAATTCCATTTGTCTTTGCCCAGCAGATCATATTCTAACGGCTGTTTGCATTTATTTGGTGCGCGTCTACGAGGTGGTTTCTGTTTGCTGTCAAAACGTTAAGAGATCGAGCATTTTACCATTTGGGGTTTTGAAATGTGAGGTTGAGTATTTGGATACCAAGAATTGATTGTTATTTTTCGAAGTATATTGTGTACGCTATCTTTTGGCGAGGTCACCGAATCCGTCTTTCTCAAACACTCCCTCGTGTCTAGTTTATAGTGAGGCAAGTGAGGCGCCGCGAAACACGGTGCCACAACCAGACTAGGCCGAGTGCGCCCTTATCAGGGTTCCGCAAGTTTCGTTATCCACCTGAGTTCCGATATTCCCTCGCCCGCCTGTCATGTCGGTCTCAGGATTTCTGCCGAATAGGCGGAGGGTCTTTCCCGCATGAGGTCAAGGCGTCAGTTTCCAGGGATGGGTGTTTCGCATCATCTGCGATTCGGGATAACATCAAAGTCCGTGATTTCTCAAAATGACTGCCGTTGAGGCATTGCTGCTTCGCATCTTCGCATCATGCTTCACGACAAGCGTTGATTGGGCGACGTGGTTACCGCTGGTCCAGTTTCGTTTCGTCATGGCGTGTCTCTGGGCCGCACATCGCGGCTCATGTCATGCATCCCATCCCTTACCACACATCCCAACCATCCATCGTCGCATCGAATGTTTCCTGTAGGCAACAGCCATGGAGGGGACCGCCGCACATTTCCCATAAGTACAGACACATCCAGCCCCCGTACAAATAAGCGAAGCTGAAAATACAATCCCCTTCAACTCTTTTTTGGGCTGCTGCCGTACAACCAACGTCTGCCACAATTTCCAGCAGTCTTTGCTTCACGTATCAGCATTTCTTTAGTCTGCTTTGGGAACCCGCGAACGGCTGCTGCGGATTATCAGAATGGCTCGGCTTCTCGTTCTCTTCCTTCTCGTATCCTTCGCGGCGTTCGTCGCAGAAGCGTCGCCAGGCAAGTCAGCGGTTTCGCATGCACGTCTTCGTCGTGAAGCCCAGACTGCACGCGCAGTTTACATTCCCTTCTTCCCTGCTTACGCGTCATTCTGCCGTCGCATACCACTCGCCGTTCTCACCTTCAGCCATCATCTCCGTTCCTAACGGAAATGCCGCTTCCCTCGGTGCACCTTGCCCGTCCACTCCAGCTGACAATACCAATTTCGTGGCGCCTATTCTCCGCGCCGATGCGCAGGTGGACCACCCGCAAGGTACGGCTCTCTCACCCTCTCGTCGCTACATCAAACCTTCTCGAAAATTTCCAACTTCTTGCAATTCTGTGTCCATGGAGTTTTTATCCACTCGCTAATTATTTGCTTTTTGTGTGTATATTCCCGTTTACCTTTTGCAGCTTTCAAGAATCGCCGGTCGCTCATGATCAATGGAATCCCGAATCGCGACACGCCGTGCGCCACGAGAATGACGTGGTGTAACCAGACGGGCCTCACCGGGGCCAAGTGGGTGACGTGGCTTCCGAGCCCCACAGACGGCTGCCTCAACTTCCCGCCGGAATACTACTCGTCGACGTATTACGGCTCGGTCCAAATCGAGTGGTACGCGCCGACTCAGGCGATGAAGAGCGACTGGTACTTCGTCACGTGCCAGCAGGTACGTTCGCGACTCGCAAATTCGCAATCCCAGCGAGAGTGATGTCGCTATTCGATTCGAAGATTGGGTGTTTGCTTCCTCGAAAGAGCACCCGTTTTTTATTGTCGCAACGATGTCACTCTGAGTCGCGTCGCGTTGCTCGCCCAGTCGTCGCGTCGCTAACTCAAACGTGGAGTCGCTGTTTTCTCTGAACTTTCGCGTCGCTGTTGTGTTGCAGCTCCAGTTCTACTCGAGCCGCGACTGCAATGTCGGCGTGCAGCAGCTGACATGCCCCACGGACCGCAACCCGCCGTTGCCCAGCAAGCGAAGGTACATCCGCCGATTTGCCCACATACTTCTTCCTTCCCTCGCCCCGACTGCACACGTGCCTTCTTCCTCGTTGCGCGCCGATTGAACCGTGCCTCACCCGTGCTCTCTTCCCTCGCCGGCTCGCACCTGCTTTCGCATGCCCCTTTTCATTGTCGTATCACATCGCTGCCATCATATCCCTCAACTTGTATTTCTCTTCCTGTCGCGGCTCTACTCTGCCTTTCCCACCCCCTGCAGCCCGTTCCCCGCTATTCGCACGCCGATCAAGTCCGTTAGTTGCCTATACTGTGAGTACCACGAAACTCCGGGCTTGTGGAACTGACGAGTTATTCAGCCTCGGTAGCACCTTCTTTTTGAATTCCGTTCCTCCCCTCCACTTACACGCAAACTTTCTATCCCCTTCGGTGCACTCATGTAATATTCCTAACTCGAAAATGTTGTGCTGTTTATGTGTTTCTGTTACGTGGTAACCACCGAGCAGGGCAGGACCTGACCAAGTTGTACACGTGTCCGGCCAACAGCCACCTGGAGACCAAGTGGGCGGGCGCCAAGTGCTACTGTAACAAGGGCTTCGCTGAGCAGAACGGCGTGTGCGTAGGTAAGTCAACGCTGCCACTCCAACCCTTCCATCTCTCCCCCCCGCCACTTCCGCCTCTGTTTTGAGCCGCCTCGACACCAAGTGGGCGGGCGCCAAGTGCTATTGCAACAAGGGCTTCGCTGAGCAGAACGGCGCATGCGTCAGTGAGTCAACGCCACAATCTCGTACCCCCTCTGTCGTTCCTCCACCTCTCCCCCCCGCCCCCACTTCTCGTCTCTTCCCCCCACCTCTTCCCCACCGCCTCTCCCCACTCACTATCCCCTGTCTGCCCCCGTCTCCCCCTCCCGCCCCAGACGTGTGCACGCCCCATATTGACCCCCCTCTCTCCCCCCTTCCTTCCCCCCTCCTTCCCCCTCCCCAGACGTGTGCACGCCGCTCAACTGCGGGCCCAACTCAGACTGCTACGTGTCAAACGGAGCAGGCGTGTGCAACTGCACGGACGGTTACCGCATGGTCAACAGCAAGTGCGAGGCCGTCGGCAACTCGGACTTCATGGAGCCACACAACGCCGCGCGTGCTGACGTCGGTCTGCCGGCGCTGACGTGGAATGACACTCGTGAGTGTGACTATAGCGGAGTCAGTTGATTGTAACAGGTAAAGACCTGTGTGCACTGGCCTTTTAGCTATCCATCTCCTAGCACGTCTCTATGCTAAACCCCGGAATTGTCCGTGTGTTGCGCTCCTCTCTCCCGTCGCTTCCCATCAGTGGCCTCTGAGGCTCTTGCCTGGATCACCCAGCTCTCCACAACAGACAACACTTGCAAAACAGCCACCCGCAACAGCGCCCTGTCGTACGGCCAGAACCTGCTGACGACCATCGGCATCGGCCAATGGACCGGGAGAATGGTCGTCAACTCATGGGTGGCGGAAAAGGCGAGCTACACCTACGCGCCTCTGAACGGCGGGTGTGCGGCCGGTGCGATCTGCTCTCACTACATCCAGATCGTGTCTAAGCAGTCGACAGACGTCGGATGCGCTTCCATCACCTGCGCCGGTGCGGGGGCTCAGCTCTGGGCCTGCTTCTACTCGCCCAAGGGGCTTGTCAAGGGCACTTATCCCTACTAGTCTGTATCACCAGTAGCGGTCTCATGTCTCATGTAGTTCTAAAGGGTATCCATTCTAGCATCCTGAAAATCCATGCTACTGGTCGTTGTCAGGGACGGGTGGAATCCGTGGGGGCTGGCCGGACTGTCTGCTGCTTGTATCTAAGCTCTGGTGATTCTTCATGATTGCAATGTTGTATGTTAATCGTACGTCGCTTGTATGTCTATTTTTTTATGAGATAAGTGGATTGATATGGGGAGTCATGTCGGTAAAAGATAGGTAATGAGGAAAGATGAGAAGAGGGTAAGGAGCCTGCAGATTGGCGAGTACATATATTAAACAATTGATGCTTCTATCTCAATGTCGGTAGCCATATGAAAACCTGCCCAACACGTACCTTTACCATACAATCCATGCCCCACAACTTACGGACGATGAAAGGGATTTTTATGGCGATTTGTAAAGAAAGCCCAACGTTGACGCAAAACTAGTTGGGAGACGAATTGATGGTGAACACTTGGATGATTTCCGCGCGTCACAGGGCATATTCCAAATTGTCATCATTTATGTACAGTCTCATATCATATGAATATCCGTACGTTAAAAGTTTTGTTACATGCCAGAATATGGTAGCTGATTTGAAAAAATTGCGTACATGTACAGAGTTGGACCCGCCCTTATCGCGGTCCAGGTGATGAACATTGTCTTTTCTGGTGGAACAGTTTCGTTCCAAATGAAACCCAATCTCCGACCAAAAGACCCTTTCCGAATCAGACCCAGACGCGTCTCGGCCCTCGGCCCCTAGATCGGGGATTGGTTGGGGGATGTCTAGCTTCCCCGTCAATTATCAACCCAACTCCCCTCATGTCCGTCTCGCAGCCCCGCTCCAAACCTCATGCCGGTCGCAGCGCAGCACAAAATCCCCCTCGTTCATGCTGTGTCGCCCTGCAAGAACGACATTTTTGAAAAAGAAGGAAACAGAAAGCAGATTAGAACCTGAGTTACGGTATTATTTGCATGAACTCATCTGCGGTGCGATAAGTGAAATCTGCCTGACGTTGCTCCTGATTGGTTTTCAGTTTCCGTTCAGATAGCCGGCTATTGGAGAGGCAGAAACCTCCAGCAATCCCCAACGCAGGTCTCGGGACACCTTTCTGCGACTCGTTCGAGTTTTCCCGTCACGCAATCACATCCGCTTTGCTTCCCCCAATCCAAAGCCCTACCACGGAGAATCAGCCATCCAGCTACAAAAGCAATGAGGCAAATCAGTCTTCTCAGATCACCCAATTCAGTTCTAGATATCGTTAATAATAGCATAATAGCCGTCTAAAAATCTTCGTTGTTCAGTTCGTTTAGTTCCTTTCAGAATACTCCCGTGCCAGTCCTCCACGATGGCGCGCCTGGCTTTTCTCGTTGCATCCCTGTCAGTGATGCTGGTGGTGGCTTCCGCGGCTCCAAGCGTCATGACTGGACCCAGCAACCCGGCAGTCAACCTCGACCAAGCCAAGGGCGCTAATGGCGTCGTGACGAATGTTCCTGCAAGCATCGAAAAGGCGGCGGCAGCGGGCAACCTCGACCAACTCCAGGGCACGACGGTCGTCAGCACGTCCACTGACAGTGTCCTGATGGTGGACGTGAAGCAGGCCGGATGGAACAAGATGAAGTGCAAGTGGGGCGCGGGCTTTGACGACGCCGGCAAAGGCGCGTGCACGGTTCAGAACTGCAGCTTGGGCGGCATCCCCGCCAAGTGGAAGACGTCGAACCTGCTCAAGAACAAGCTCGGAGTGGAGGTGTACGTGAAGGGGAATCCTTGCACGGTTAAGAAGGCGTCCCCGCAGGCGTGCTGCAACTCGTGCGCGGGATTCAGTGGCTGCACGTACTGGCAGTTCATCCCCGATATCACGATTGACGGAAAGAAGTCGGACGGCGCGTGCTACATGGTGCACGACAGCATCGACTTCACCTGCGGCGAGCTCACCGCACAGTACGCGACGGACTCGAAGCCCATCGCGCTGCAGGTGCGCACGGGCGGCGAGTGCAACCCCGCGGCGAAAATCGTCAACGACCCGCATCTGGTGGGCGCGTACGGCACGCACTTCGACTTCAACGGGCGCCCCGACAAGGCTTTCTGCCTGCTGGCTGACAGGGACCTGCACATCAACATGCTGCTGCGCGGTTACTACTCGGACGACACGGAGAATGCCGCGCTCGTTGTTGACGGCAAGGCCGTGCACACGTGGATCAAGGAGCTGGGCATCATCTGGTTCGCCAACGGCGCTGACCACAAGGTGCGTCTGGCGGCGCGCGGCGGCAAGCAGCAGGAGCGCGGCGACGGGTTCATGAAGACGATCGAGATCGACGGCGAGGAGATCCCGAGGATGAACGTCGGTGATGAGGTGACGACTGAGGGAGGTCTGACTCTGCGATTCGCCGCTCTGGAGAAGGAGGGCCCGTATGACGTGGACTACTACACCCTCGTCATCGACGGTCTCGTGGGTCTCGACCTGCGCCTGCGCGTCGCCAACCCCAAGCTTCAGACCCCCAACGACTCCGAGGCGCACATCAACGTGGGGATTGTCGAGCTGGAGCACACCGACGACGTGCACGGCGTGCTCGGCCAGACGTACCGTCCCGACCACGCGGAGCGCGCCGCTAACTTCCAGAAGATGATCGCTACCCTGCACCGTCCGATTTCGGCGGAAAGCGAGGAGGGCGCTGGGTTCCTTGACGGCACTCCCCGCATGTACGAGTCGAGCTCCGTGCTGTCCGTTGACTGCGCGTTCACCGAGTACCACCGCGCCAAGCAGCTGAGCCCCGTGCAACACATCGACCTGGAGCCCTTTCCGTAGACGCGGTGCTCGCGAACTGGGTGGGCTGACTTTTGTGGGCTTTTAATGGTGGGCTAATTCGGTGGGCTGATTTGGTGGGCTGCGATGTGCGCAGGATACCTGTGCATTTGTATTGTAGGTGGGCTGGTTTTGCTTTGTAAATCTGTCTAGCTTTGTACCAAACTTCCTTGAAAATGTTTGGCGTTTCACACTTAGACCCAGTTCGGCAGCGCTCTTGGGTTCGCGGAATCAGTAAACTGGGGCGGAACCCGCCAAAAAGGTGAGACCGTAACCAAACAAATAGGTGAGGGAGGGTTTTGCCAGCTCGCGCAATTTCCCGTCAGGAGGGGGACGTCTGGCAAGGACATGGAGGACCATCCTTCCATCTTCCAACCTCCTGGCCTGAAATTTGGTACGAACAGTCACGAAATGAAAGCATAAGACGTTTGGAAAAAATAGTGTAGACAGTTTCAGTAAATACCAAACATAGTATAATCTGACACACTGCAATATATTGTGGTTCAGATGAAATATTTGAATCGCACTGATTCAGAGGTTGAATAGCAGTGCACCATGGCCGTGATGTAGATGAAATATTTCCACTGATGTATGTGTGTAATGCGTTTCAAGTCTTCAAGTGTAATGTGTAATGCGTTTCAAGTGTTCAGAAGCATGCAACCTTCATCTTTGATTAATAACAGATTTACAATGCTAATACAGCCCACATACAATACAAATGCACAGGTTTCTGTGCAAGTCTCAGCCCACCAAATCAGCCCACCGAATCAACCCACCAGGATCAGCCCACAGTACGCTTGCACTGCGTCTAGGGAAGGGGCTCCAGGTCGATGTGCTGCACGGGGCTCAGCTGCTTGGCGCGGTGGTACTCGGTGAACGCGCAGTCCACGGACAGCACGGAGCTCGACTCGTACATGCGGGGGGTGCCGTCAAGGAACCCAACGCCCTCCTCGCTATCAGCCGAGACCGGGCGGTGCAGGGTCGCGATCATCTTCTGGAAGTTAGCGGCGCGCTCCGCGTGGTCGGGGCGGTACGTCTGGCCGAGCACGCCGTGCACGTCGTCGGTGTGCTCCAGCTCCACAATACCCACGTTGATGTGCGCCTCGGCGTCGTTAGGGGTCTGCAGCTTGGGGTTGGCGACGCGCAGGCGCAGGTCGAGACCCACAAGACCGTCGATGACGAGGGTGTAGTAGTCCACGTCATACGGGCCCTCCTTCTCAAGAGCCGCGAACCGCAGAGTCAGACCGCCCTCGGTCGTCACCTCATCACCGACGTTCATCCTCGGGATCTCCTCGCCGTCGATCTCGATCGTCTTCATGAAACCATCGCCGCGCTCCTGCTGCTTGCCGCCGCGCGCCGCCAGACGCACCTTGTGGTCGGCGCCGTTGGCGAACCAGATGATGCCCAGCTCCTTGATCCACGTGTGCACGGCCTTGCCGTCAACAACGAGCGCGGCATTCTCCGTGTCGTCCGAGTAGTAACCGCGCAGCAGCATGTTGATGTGCAGGTCCTTGTCGGCCAGCAGGCAGAAGGCCTTGTCGGGGCGGCCGTTGAAGTCGAAGTGCGTGCCGTACGCGCCCACCAGATGCGGGTCGTTCTGGATCTTCGCCGCGGGGTTGCACTCGCCGCCCGTGCGCACCTGCAGCGCGATGGGCTTCGAGTCCGTCGCGTACTGCGCGGTCAGCTCACCGCAGGTGAAGTCGATGTTGTCGTGGACCAGGTAGCACGCGCCGTCCGACTTCTTGCCGTCAATGGTGATATCGGGAATGTACTGCCAGTACGTGCACCCAGAGAAACCCGCGCACGTGTTGCAGCAAGTCTGCGGGGACGCCTTCTTCACAGTGCACGGGTTGCCCTTCACGTACACCTCCACGCCCAGCTTGTTCTTGAGCAGGTTCGACGTCTTCCACTTGGCGGGGATGCCGCCCAGGGAGCAGTTCTGAACCGTGCACGCGCCCTTGCCGGCATCGGCAAAGCCCGCGCTCCACTTGCACTTCATCTTGTTCCATCCGGCCTGCTTCACGTCCACCATCAGGATACTGTCCGTGGCCGAGCTCACGACCGTCTGGCCCTGGAGTTGGTCCAGCTTGCCCGCTGCCGCCGCCTTCTCGATGCTAGCAGGGACATCCGTCACGACGCCATTAGCGCCCTTGGCTTGGTCGAGGTTGACTGCCG